CCCTAAGACAACATTGATTCCCATAGACCTCCATCTCCAAATAATTGCCTGCTAAGCCTGCAGTGGGGAAAGGGGAGCCCATAATCCCCAAACCCCTCCAGGTTCTTTTCCCCTAAGTTAAATTTAAATATGTAAGAATTTAAATATGATATTCAAATATCAGAAACCATGAAATAACAATGCCCTAAATCAGAGAAGAAAGGAGCAATTAGCCAAAGCTAAACTTTTTAAATGTTTGGTTTTGAAAAATAATGCAGGGGGCCCTTGTTATCTGCTGCGGTTTGGTTCCAGGACCCTCTATGGATAACAAAATCTGTGGATGCTCAAGTCCCATTAAATACAATGGCATAGTAAAATGGTGTCTCTTATATAAAAGGGCAAAATCAAGGTTTGCTTTTTTGGAATTTATTTATTCATTTATTTTTAATATTTACAAACTATGGATGGTTGAATCCGTGGATAAAGAACCTGTGGATATGGAGGATTGACCTTTTTTTGTTGTTGACAATTTAGGTTTGTTAACAGAAGGGTTAACAAAACTAAATATTTTAAATGTTTGTATTTAATAATAATACAGTGGGCCCTTGGTATCCATTGGGGTTTGGTTCCAGGACCCCCTGTGAACACCAAAATTCGTGGGTGCTCAAGTCCCATTAAATGCAGTGGCATAGTGAAACGGTTTCCCTTATATAAAATGACAAAATCAAGTTTTGCTTTTTGGAGTTTATATTTTTTTGGAATATTTTCAAACCGCAGATGGTTGAATCAGTGACTAAAGAACCTGTTGAAATGGAGGGCCACTGTAATAAAGAAAAGGTTCCAGAATGAAGGTGATACATTTGATGCACTGTGTGCATTGTGCTTTCTGTAGCTGTAAGCAAACCAACCCTGGTCATGGTTTGCTCTCCTCTTCTTAGGAGTTTGCATGGGGCAGGGGTGGTTTATGGATTATGGATTACCTTCAGGGTGGTGTTGGCAGCTCCCAGGACTTGTTTTTCCCTATTTTCCCAGCTGGTAAATGTGCCTCTAGTATGAAGAATTCAAAGATATAGCCGTGTTAGTCTGTAGAATCAGTATGTAGAGGGATCTTGTAGCACCTTTGAGACTAACTGAAAGAAAGAAGTTGGCAGCGTGAGCTTTCATAGACTTCAGTCTACTTCCTCAGATGTATGAGTTTATCACATTTTTTGCCCCTCCCAGCCATTTTATGCCCTTGAAAGCCCCCCTTTTTTCCCCTACCAATGTCAACTTCAACTGAAAAATTGACTGAGCTAGCTAAAATGGACAAGAAAATTCTGATTGAAGGAAAAGCATTGGTGATCGTTTTGAAGGACTGCAAACCTTTGGTTGTCTTTTTGCAGAAAAAATGAGAACAGTACATAAACTGTATGTTAGAAGGTGTAGTGATTTGAGTGTTAGACTATGACTCTGGTGACCAGGGTTCGATTTCCCACTCATCCATGAAACCCACTGGGTGACCTTGGGCAAGTCACCCACTCTCAGCCTCTTGGGAAGGCAATGGCAAACCTTCTTTGAACAGATCTTGCCAAGAAAAGCCCATGATAGGTTAGGGTTGCCATAAGTTGGAAACGACTTTAAGGCACACAACAACAGGTTAGGTTAAGCAGAAGATGTTTATTTGGAGAAGCACATTTTTACATATCATGTATAACCATTATTAAGAAAGTTGGAATTCACTGTAATTCTTTTTCTTTCTCTGTTCTTTTGCTGTCCTTTTCTTCTTATTTTGGTGGGTTTTCCTCCTGTCTTTTACTTTTTTGTTCGTTTGTATACTTTTCTTCTTTAAATGTATTAGAAAGCTTTTAATAACACAATATTTAATAATAATACAAAGAAAGCCCCCTTTTTTTCCAACAGGATGTGACCCAGAGGTTGGTGGGTAGGATTGCCAGAATAAAAACTGGAGGGGGCTCCTCTACCATTAATGCTTGTGTAGAGGAAATTTAGCAGTTATTGTTTTTTTACTTGACTGCACCTAGAATCACAGAATCCTAGAGTTGGAAGAGACCCCTAGGGCCATCCAGTCCAACCCCATTCAAAGCATTCCCAACAGACAGCCATCCAGCCTCTGTTTTAAAACCTGCAAAAAAGGAGACTTCACTACCCTCCAAGGCAGCATATTCCGCTGTTGGAACAGCTCATACTGTCAGGAAATTCTTCCTAATGTTGAACTGGAAACTCTTTTCTTGTAGCTTGCATCCATTGCTCTGTATCCTAGTCTCTGGAGCAGCAGAAAACAAGCTTGCTCCATCCTCAATATGCATCCCTTCAAATATTCGAACAGGGCTGTCGTGCAGAACCAGATGTCTTTAAAAAAAGAGGATGAGGTACCACAGAATGCAGGGCATTGAAGAAAAATGTAGGGCATGACCAAATAAAAGCTCAAAACACTCATATAAATATAAATTCACACTTCTATGTCATGCTCAAAAGGGAGGATATTTTAAAATTCCTCCTGGACAGAAGGTTGAAATGTAGGACATGCCTGGAAATGGAAGATGTCTGGTCATCCTGGCTGTCATGTCACTCTTTAATCTTATCTTCTCCAGGCTAAACATACCCAGTTCCCTAAGCTGCTTTTCACAGGGCTTGGTGGCTTCTAGCCCTTCCACCATTTTGGTTGCCCTCCTTTGGACACAGTGCAGCTTCTCAACATTCCTCTTGAATTGTGAGGCTCAGGACTGGACACAACATTCCCTGCTGAAATTCTCTCTTCTACACAATCCTTGAACTGGTGTTGTCTCCAGTTTCCAGTCTGGCAACCCTGTTGAGGGCATTGCAATCTCCTTAATCCCAACAGTTGTCTATCCCTGTCCTTGCCAAGTCATGTTATTGTCCATGCTGGGACATGATTTATTGTTTCTTGCTAACTGATCAGGTGGAACCTGTGAAAAGCTAGTGCCCTGTCCTCAGTGGCATGCCAATCGAATTTGTTCTTCGCATGACGGTGATGCAAGTGTGCGTTTGTGCGTGCGTGTGTGTGTGTGTGTATTTCAGTGTGTGTCTGATTTTCCCTGCTAGGAAATAGCTCGCCTCCTAATGGCAGAGGAGAAGAAGGCTTACAAGAAAGCAAGGGAACGTGAGAAGTCGTCGTCTGAAAAGAAAAAGCAGGAGCCAGACAGGAAGGTGGGTTTTAAGATTTGGCTGGTCTGAGACGTAGGCTTGGTTAAACTAGTTTGCAAAACATCCTTACAGATACTTTTTTGGGTGAATATGATGACACTCATCTTCCTTTCTGAAGCAAAGAGACAGCTGTGCAGAGAGGAAGTTGTCGGCTTTTCCCTGGAACATCCCCAGTTTCTGCACATTCTGCGTGGAAATAATATTTCTATGGAGAAGCATTATTTTCTGCACAGTGGCAGCTGTTTTATATGCAGAATATTTTGCTTTCTATGCAGATCAACCGCTTGCATGTTTTGCACAGAATAAATCCCCAATCACAGCATTTTCTCTGCATGAAACAGCATTTTCTGTGCAGATGATAATATTTCTGCATTGAAGGTGCAGAAAGTGTTGCTCCCTGAACAGAAAATGATGTTTTCTTTGCAAAACAGTCATGTGCAAATTTTGTGCCAAGCAGATCTCAAACTGTGAAAATTCTCATCAATCCTGAATTCTTATCTTTTTTTAATATTTATTTTTCCAAACAATAAAAGGTATATAAAATAAATAAATAACAATAACAGTTGTTTGTATATTTTACACCCCATTAACTATCTTCATTACCATTTTCATTTCATTACAATGTCTGTTTACTCATCTTACTTACTATATATATCCTTAATTCTGTACTTCCCTCCATTTATCTGATATTGTAAGATGTTATTTCTCTTAATATTACCCATTTCTAATTTAATTAGTATGATCTCACTATTTGTCTCTCCAATTGTTAATTGTAAGCTCAATTGTTTTAGATCTACTTTGATTTTTAGATTATACCAGTTTCCTACTCCTGTTTTCATTATTATTATTTTTTTGCAGTAGACTAGGATTCTTATCACCGGGTTTAAAAAACATGCTATTCAACCATTTTTAGAATATTTTTGGATATTTTTTTCTTCTCTGCAGCTGCTGTCCCATAGATTGTACTGTTCCAATATTAGCTAATCCATCCTGCTGTCTCTTATCTACCCAGCATGATACACATGAAGGGTTGCATCCAAGATCAAGAGAAGGTCATGAAGATCATCGAGCGAAGAGCGACAAACCAACACGGTAAAATGCATATGAATCCCACTGATCCATATCCCCCCAGGAGGAATTAGCATCCACTAGATGAATGGGTTGCGTACGTGTTAGGGGTTGTGCCTGTCATCATTCTTAGTGTTCCTCCTTCTCTATACAAACACAAAATATTTTACTGCACCAAGAAAAATGAATATCAAGGGACAGCATCCTGGCTTTGCCTTCTCTCCAACATGTAGTTTCATGTGTGCAGAAAATAATTTTACATGGAGGATTTAATTGAGCTTTCACCTGTGGTAAAGCTGATCATTGCAAGGCTGATCAGGGAATAGGGACTCTGTCTCTGCTGGACATGGTTAGACATCTCTTAAATTTGAAACTTGCAGGCTGGATGTTCTCCTGGATTCGAATTTGAACCTGGTTCAAATTCTGCATTGGCCAGGAGTGAATTTGCATAGCTAACACTAGTGCAACAGCTGCACCCATTCCTTGAGACATCAGATCTGGCTATGGTGACAAATGCCTTGATTACATCCTGTATGGACTACTGTAACACTCTCTGTGTGGGGTTGCCTTTGGAAACTGTTGGGAAACTTCTGCCAGTCCAAAATTATTCTGCCAGAATGGTAACCAGGGCCTGTTATAGGGAGTATATCACTTTCTTATTGAAACAGCTTCATACCAGTTTGTTTCCAGGCACAATTCAAACTGCTGGTTATGACCTATAAAGCCCTACATGATTTAGGTCTTGAGAGAAAATGTGACTTGCCCAAGGTCACCCAGTGGGTTTCCATAGCCAAGACGGGATTCGAACCCTGTTCTCCAGAGTCATAGTCTTAACGTTCAAACCCTTATACCACACTGGCTCTCAGGTTTCCCTTTAACTGCTTTTAATTTTATTGACAGTTCAATTTCATTTGAAACTTCTCTGTAATGTGAATTTTTAAAGCTGTCTCTGTTTTACCTTTGGTAAGCTGCCGTGAGTCCCAGACTGGCAAAAGTGGGATGATGTCTAGGATGATGTTTTGTACAGCCCTGAACATTATGCCAGTGGGGTGGTGCATCTGCTCTGGGTTTTACTTTGAACTTTAAAGGAGTTATCCAAGTTTCTGAATTCTTTAACCAAAATAGATTGAAGTCCTTGGACAGCTTCATTAAAGTTATAGCTGAAACCAGGAGCAGATTTATCATCCCACCAGTTTGGGACCCACCAGCCATCACTGTCTGAAGGGAATATTACCAGTGCATTTTTCTCCCCTTACCATTATTATCTTCTTTCTCTGCCAGGCCTCCTCCGCCTCCCACAGAGGAGCTGGACCATCTGGTTAGTCTTACAAGCCAGCAAAACTTGGCATATCCCATATCCAAACCAGAGCCTTTGCATAAAGGTGAGCCGTAATCCCTACGGTGGATCAAAACAGATCTGTACATGCTGGAGTTTAGACCAAGACTTTATGTAAGATGTGCAACAAATCATTTATGGCACAGCAAAGTTGTCAAAGGCCTTCAGCGATGTGCTAGGACCACCAAAAGCCATCTAACACACTGCACAGGCCAGTTTCTCAACTGGAATAGCCTTTGGACATCCCCAGAGCAATGGTGGGCATTGCTGTGGGTCTGGAGGCCTGCTCCTGGATCTCACCAGGAGCTGCGCAGACTGCTGAAAGTAAACAAAAGCATCAAATCCACTTTTTTATTTTTATTTTATTTTTTAATGTTAAATAGTACAAATGGCTTATGTTTATTTAAAATGTCCTCCTGGGTGGTTCTGAAGAAGCAATCCACCCTCTTGTTTTGGCCAGAGAAGGGACTGTCCAGGGAGTATGGAGGGGTTGAAGGCCACAAAAGCAGTTTTGAAGAGGGTCACATGTGGCCCATGAGGTGACACGTTGCCCACCTCTGCCCTAAAACATGGCTAAGGTTGCATCTCTACTGCAGAACGAATGCAGTTTGAAGGTCTGAAGAAAGGAAAATAGGAGTCAAAATGGACTGTTCCTTTGATCATGAAATTCCAGATGTCTGGGAGTGGTGTCCCACCTAGAGATGAGAAGGTCCAGGAAAAACAAAAATTGGAAAAATTCTAGGGAAAAAATGGATTATTGGTTTTGTGTGAGGGATGTGGCATGTGTGTATGTGCCTCCAAGTTACATGTTAGCCTATGGTGACCCTGTGAATTCCATCGGGGGTTTTTTAGGCAAGGAATACTCTGAGGTTGTTTTGCCAGTTACTTCCTCTACAATAGAGCCTACGACACTTGGTATTCATTGACAGTCTTCCAGGGCTGATCCTGCTGAGCCTCTGTGATCAGATGGGATTTGTTGCCACTTGTGTGCGTGTGTGTGTGTGTTTTCAAGTCCCCTGTCAACCTATGGCAATCTCATTAATTTCATCAGGTTTTCCTGGGGAAGGAATCAGCAGAGGTGGCTTTGCCAGTTCCTTCCTCTGAAATAAAGCTTCCAATACCTGGGTTTCATTGGCAGTCACCCATCCAAGTAATCACCAGGACTGACCCTGATGAGCTTCCTTAATCAGATGGGATCTGGTGCCTTGGGTGTGTGTGTTTGTGTGCGCGCACCTTCAAGTTGCCTATTGGCTTATGGCATCCCTATGAATTCCATAGGGTTTTCTTCCTCTTTCTATGGCTGCATCTGCACTGCAGAAATAATACTGGGTTTTTAAACAGCTCCAAACTGCCCTTCTGTCTGATGTTTGTGAACATTTTGACTCATTGTGGATGTTTTTGCTGCCTTCGTGTATTGATTCCACTGAAGCAGCAAAATCCTTTGCTTGTGAGCTGGATGCACACATATGCAATGGGTATAAGAGGAATTACACCTGTGTCGTCCATCTTCAAGAAGACAGCTGTGAGGTGTGTGTGTGTGTGTATGGGTACGGGTTTCTCTTCATTAAATAGGAAGGAATGAAAGAAGGAGGGAGGGAGCGAGCAGATGGATGCATCTGTTTTACAGGGAAAAAATGCTGCACTTTGTGAAACTAATTTCTGTCCCTCTCTCTCTCATTTTTCCCCCATTGCAGGTTACCACTATAAGCAGTAGGAAAAACTATTAGACATTTTCATTGAGACTGACTCTCTTCTGTAGCAAACTTCTTTGGAGTTCTTCCTGGGGATCTCCTGGGTCCGCATTCCCTCTCCAAGGAGATCCCAGGACTGCATCCTTTCCAACTATCACAACGTCCACAAACAGTGCCTCTTCTTCAGTCTGTTGTGTGTGGGTTCCCCCCCTCCTTTGTGTCTTAGGCAAGGCAGTTGAATCTTGCTTGGAGACAGTTTACTCATCTCCATCTTCTGGGAAGGAATCTCTTCCATGCCATCCCTAGTGTTGAGTCTTTTGGTGCAGCCACCTTCTTTGACTGTGGTTGAGCCACAGTGTTGTCAATAAGATATCTTTGAGGTTTGAGAACAAACAAGGGTGTGTGTATGGAGGCAAAGCCAAATTCCAATAAGCATTTTCTTTTACCTGAAGCCTTGAACTGCATTTGGAAAAACGAAGAAAGTCTCCCTATGACAACAGTGCATTTGACAGCTGCAACATTTGCCCTTGACTGCTCCATAGTCCCTGTTACATTCCAAAAGTTGTGATCTCACCACCAACCTGTCATCACCTGAAATGCTTGGTCTGAATTGTCCTCTGGCAGAATCAGACATGTGTGTACCTAAAATTATGATTCATGGAGCAGGTTCCCTCAGGGCTGCTTTGTTTGCCTCGGTTTGGTGAGTTATGCTGAAAATGCTTAAGCGTGGGATGGTCTGTGTTTGCAAGTGTATCATACAGGAGCACATGTCAGGATCAGTGGCAATTTCTTTTCTATTTAGGGAAAAAAACCTAGGTTTGTTTTCTTGTAATGTGTGCCACACCCCTTGGTGGTCACCTAAAATGTGTATGCAGGGCTATGTTCTGTTTTGAAGTCATCCGAAAACTCCATTTGCAATATCTGTTTTCAGATGCAGCAAATCCCTTGATGATGCAAGTTAATAATTTGGAGAGCTTCAAACAAAAATCCACCAAACAGTGATACCTTTATTGGTCAACCAAAATGCACAATATATTGTTGCAAGCTTTCAAAGCTCCATTGGCTTCTTTATCAGGCAAGATGTTACAAATCAAACAGGAGAAAATATGGGAGATGTTAGTCAGATGCCTGCATTTTGATGTTTCTGTCTTTAGTTAAAATGGTAAGTGGAGGGCATCTTTTGCAGGCTGATCCCTTCTCCTTCTGGCCATGCGCATATTTGCAAAGACCGGGACATTTAAAGTCCATTTGCATTTAAAGTCCATTTGGAGAGTTTGTGTGTATAAACTTGAGCAAAGACTTGGGCTGCATCTGCACTGCAGAAATAGTCCAGTTAGACACCACTTTAACTGCCATGGTTCAGTGCTATGGAATCCTGGGAACTGTTTGTTGTGGTATCAGAGCTTTCTGACAGAGAAGGCTAAATGTCTCACAGAACTACAGTTCCCTACAATCCATAGCATAAAGTGGTGTCAAAGTTGATTATTTCTGCAGTGTGGATGCAGCTTGGATGCTGATGTTTTAATCTTAGAAGCAGCTTTAACTCATAGACATTTGATTTTGTGAATTCATAAAAGCTGCACAGTTATCTGACCTGGCATTGTTTTTGAAGCAACTCAACCATTTTAAAAGCATGAAGACGACAGAATTGCTAATTTGGCAAAGCATCTTAAAATCTGTAATGAGTCAAAGGGCCAGAATTAACTTGCATATTTACCAATACATTGTGAAAATAGTTTTCTGCAGATACTAAGCTACAGGAAGGTCACATTTTACTGCTTCTTGTGATACTCTTAACTGGAGCTGTTTCTAAGGGAAAGAAAAACTTAGGAAAATGTGGGCTAGGAATAGAAAGCAGTTAACTTTGGGTCTTCATTCCATTTAGTTTCTAGCTTAGAAGTTAGCTAGCTTTTTCCAACCCCAAAGGTATTTTTGAAACCATGAGGACTAGAAGCACATTTTTGGGAGGTAAAAGTCATGTTTAGGTACCACCGGTGGGAGCTCAAAAGTGCCTTGGCAGGATTGGTGGACTCTCTATAATGTTTCCCAGGAAAGGTAGAAAAGACTCCATATTCCATATTCCTTGTCTTCTTCTCTCCTCCAAACCTCAGTTTTTAAACCTCTGCCCTGAACTCGCCTTGCCCTGCCCAGCTGCCCATTTAGTCTTTATTTTTGGCCCATTTAGGCTGTTCACAGAATGGTTAACTTTTCCAGTTTGAAGATGAAATGGCCAACAGTCATGGTGCATTTCCTCTTTTTCCATTGTGTGTCATACTTGTGCAGTGCCACATCCATTGCTTTTATATATGGTTTATTTTTATATGGCATAGAATAGTCAAAGGTTGTTAATGGTTTGTTTGCTTTTTACTAATGAAGCTGCCATTTTCCATCTTCTGTTCCCCTCTCTCTAACATGTTGCTGCATCCCATCCGAAATGTATTTATTAATTGTTAAGTATTAACGGTTTGGTTTTAGGTGCCAAAAAAACCTTGCCTGTACAACAGGGAGTCTGTTTTCTTTGCAGCACTGTGTCACTCTTGGATATTTTTTAGGGCAAAAGGCTATTGGATTTCCATCTTGGCTTTGAGAGTCTGAGTGTTACAGGCCAAATGGTCATTTGCTGAATGGTTTGGCTAACAAAATCAAAACAGCCAGAATAATCCCAGGTCAAGTGTGAAATTCTGTCCGGTTGGCAATATAGGCTCTTTTCCAGTTTAATTTCCATTGGGGAATTAAATTTCTCCACTTTTAATTTCCTGGTATCCATACTTTGCAACTCTATTGGTTTGATACCACTTTAATTGATACTATGACTCCATCCTGCAGGGTCCTG